AGACCGGCAGAAGGGGTCGCTGCGACCCCCAAAAATTAGGTCGCGACTTTTGGGGGTCGCTGATCCAATTTATGGGGGTCGCATACCCAGCCCCCCCAAAAAAAGGGGCATTAATGGACCCTTTCAACTCTTTTGTACATATAACCAGGCAACAAGCACTGCAAAAAAAAAACATGCTCAATTGCCTGCAGTTGACATGCAGCATGCTCCAGACAAGCTGTCATCCAAACTGCACCTGTTTGAATATGTAGATGGTTTGGCACAGTAACTGAGCAGTCTGCCCAATGAGGGGAGGGACTGGTGCACGTGGCTGAGGCAGCAACAGTGTGCTTGAATGGATTTTCCTTTTCCAGGCAGAATGGCTCAGATAAATGGGAGTCAAAGTGGATCAGTGTATAGCTCTAACCTGTATAAAATCTAGATAAATAGTTTCCTGTTTGCTGAAAGAACATCACTAGATCTGTCAATCAAAGCAACTATGAAAAAGAAGAAAAAAAATCAATGGAATGAGACAGAATGGTTTGGTACAGAAACATCACGAGTAAGGCCACTGATACAGTGGCCTCCTGATAAGCCTGTAGGCACAGTAGTTAAGACAGGACTGGAAGATTGGTTTCTAGGAGAGAAGAAATGAAGACTAGTATTACTTATAAGATGATGATGAGGGAGGAATGTGAAATTTCTGTAGAATTAACTCAATTTTTACACACTATCTGACCTGACAAGTGATGGTCATCTCAGTTTTTGTCTAGGTGTATTTGTACATTGGATTATGACCTCTGATATCACCAGGACAAATCTGCCATCACTGGCTGTGACAAGTCAGCCCATCATTACAAAGGGCTCCTTCACTGCAAAAAAACTTGCTCAACTGCCTGCAGTTGACATGCAGCATGCTCCAGCCATGCTGCCATCCAAACTCCAGTTAATTTTTTGGCACAGTCACTGTGCAGTATGTGCAGTGACTGTGCATCAAAGCTTGTTTTAATCAATTTTGGAGAATGGTTGGAGTAACAATAGAAGCTTGCTGGGTGTTTCTGCATGTCAACTGCAGGCAGTTGAGCAAGTTTTTTTTTGCAGTGCTTGGTGCATTTGCAGTCACTGGTCAACATTTCCTGTGGTGCATATCAGTTTCATGATATCTCCAGAGTGATCTAATCTTGAAACAAACATTGTTGGCTTCTGTGTTTTCTCTTTACATTTCAGTCTCCCAATCTTTGGGTTCATATAGAACAACAAGAATATTCAGGTATTCAAGGCTTAGCTGATCTCTCCCCACTTCACATACTTTCCTTTTTGATATTGATAAGTGAGATTTACTTAGATGAACCAATATTGCACCAGATATCTTGAGCACTGCTATTTTTTAAGTTTATTTTTCAATGGAAGACTTCCCTCTGGTTCTGTAGGCTCCTACAGAGCTAAAGTGAGAAATTTTTAAATTCAAAATGATTTTGAACAAGTGTTTTTTTTATATCTCAGATATACTTTAACATATTCCTTCTACCACCACACACCCACCAAAAGAAAAAAAAAGCCTTGAGCCAACATCACCAACCAATCCCCAGCATCAAATCAACCAAGTACCCACATTCCACCATCTGCAACTGGTAATTGTTCTCAGACAGCTACCCTGATACCCACTCACAGATGACCTGGCTGGGATAAAGGATCTGTCTGTGTGCTACAGTGCTACTGACTGCACAGCCTTGCTTTTCACAGTCAAGGAGTTTCTTGCCCAGGTGTGGGGACATGTGCAAGACCTGTACAACCAGTATGCCTCTGAAAACAACCAAGCTTTATATTGTGAGTCCAATCCATTCAAATACCAATTTTGTGCTCTGAAAAATCAGTCAAAACCTACCGGCAATCCCAACTGTTCAAGTTGACCCAGAATGCCATGAATTAATGTGCCCATTTTATAGCATTTAATGAAAAGAAGATTATGTTTTTTTTTCTTCCCTTTCAGCTTATTTACTTATCTTGACCTGCAAAGTGCAGTGGGTGCTCCAGTACCAATGTTGTTGAATACTTCAAATGAAATGGGAAAGAGTTATCACATGCAATCACTGAATATCCACAACCAAATGAAGATTCAACCAAAAATGAGGATAAAGACCTTACTGTCTCATTCAATCAGACCCAAGAGACAGATATTTATGTCACAGGTGATCCCCCAAAAGCTAGTCATTAGGGGGGTATCAAATATGACAAAATCCACCTTCAAAACCCGTTGATTAGAAATCATC